CCTAGCTACTCAGGAGGCTGAGATCTGAGGATCGCGGTTCAAAGCCAGCCCGGGCAGGAGAGACCGTGAGACTCCTATCTCCAATAAACCACCAGCAAAGCGGAAGTGGCATTGTAGCTCAAGTGGTAGAGCGCTTGCCTTGAGCTGAAGAGCTGAGGGACAGCGCCAGGCCCAGAGTTCAAGCCCCATGACCGACAAAAAAAAAAAAGTTTCCTGGACTTTCCTGCCCAGGCTGGCTTTGAACTGCAATCCTCAGATCTCAGCCTCCTGAATAGCTAGGATTACAGGTGTGAGCCATCAGCATCCAGCTGAGAGATTGTCTCCAATCAACCACCAGAAAAACAGAAGTGGAGCTATGGCTCAAAGTGCTAGCCTTAAACTAAAAGAGCTCAGGGACAGTGCCCAGGCCATGAGAGTTCAAGCTTTATGACCTACAAAAAAAAAAAAAAGCCAGTGCCAGTGGTTCATGCCTATAATCCTAGCTACTAAGGAGGCTGAGATCTGAGGATCGCGGTTCAAAGCCAGCCCGGGCAGGAAAATCTATGAGACTTATCTCCAAGGAACCACCAGAAAACCGGAAGTGACGCTGTGGCTCAAGTGGTAGAGCACTAGCTTTTAGCTGAAGAGCTGAGGGACAGCGCACAGGCCCAGAATTCAGGACCCAGGACAACAACAACAACAAAAAGGTATACCTGGAAAGGGACACTGGTGCTAGGCTGTGTGAGACAGGCAGGGAGAGGGGAACTGGAGGGACCATGTACAGGCTCCAGGAAGGATGTGTGCTAAGGGAGGTAAGGGATAAGGAGCGCAGTACACAGTACACCAGGGGTGCTGGTGGTGTGAGTACAGCCAGAGGACTGAGCCACCACAAGGGGGAGGGAGGGGGGCTGGTCCTTCTGACAGTCCATCCCCTGACTCCCCCCCCACATTGATGGGTGATGAGAAGCCACTGGAAGTGAGCACAGGCCCCCTTCCTTTCTATACATCCCCTAAAATTCTTACGGCAACATTTAAGTGTGCTGAACTCCCCCAGGGTCTAAGGAAACTGGCAGGCCTTTCCCTTCCCCCTTCCCTCCTTTCTTCAACCCTCACATTCTCCTTCTCCCTTCCCCTCCTCTTCCCTTCCCTCCCTTTTTTGCCAGTTGTAGGGCTTAAACTCAGGGCCTGGGCACTGTCCCTGAGTTTCTTTTGCTCAAGGCTAGCACTCTACCACTTGAGCCACAGCACCACTTCGGGCTCTTTCTCTATATGGGTGCTGAGGAGTGGAACCCAGGGCTTCATGCATGTGAGGCAAGCGCTCTACCACTTCCCAGCTCCCCTTCCTTTCTTTTTATTTGTTTTTAGCCAGGGTCTTGCTCTGTAGCCCAAGCTGGCTTCCTATTTACTCAGTCTTCCTGCCATAGCTCCTGAGTAGTGAAATTACAGGTGTAAACTGACAAGCCTGCCTTTATTCAGATTGCATTTCATTTTTATGTTTATTTTTGGTGCTGGGATTCTTCTTCTTCTCAATGCTTTTATTATGTATAATAAAGATATACAACACGATGTGACGGATGCACAAAGACAGCGAAAGTCTGGAATGGAGCAAATGAATCTGTCATCACAGGGGCCACCAGTGCGGACCCCACATGCAGTCCAATTTTATTACCTCTGCTGCGTCTCTGAGCTGCACACAGCACTTATTTGCTGTTCTGTGTCTTCAGACCTACCAAGCCCCCTCCACCCCCAAGGCCGGCTTCCTCCTAAGGGACTCTGGCCTCGTCTTCTGGTCCCCATCTTGATGACGAAGTAGCAGATGCTCTGGGTCCGGCAGCACACCTCTCTTTCACCTTCTGCTGAGGCCTCCTGGGGTTTTATGGTGTCAAGAGCCTCTGTATCCTGGGCAGGAAGACAGGAGGCTTACTCATCCCACTAAACGAAGTGGGCTGCTGAATCCCTGAGGGGCCAAACACTGGTCCCTGGTCACAGGGTCGGTGGCAGCCAGGTCTCTGAACCCCACTTTACAGGAGAGAAGAGTGAGGTGCCTCACATGGGAAGTTCCAGGAGGCAGAAGTTCCTGGGTCAGCAGGCAGCAGGCAGAGGCTGGCCCTGCCACTTCACCCAGCCAGGAAGTGCTGGCCATGGGAAAGAGACTTCACAGGAAGTCCCGCCCCTGCTTCCTGTGCCACCTGGGAAAGGCTGACCAATGAGGCCTCTCCTGGCCCGCCCAGGTCGCAGAGGACCCACAGGAAACATGGAAAAAGCTGGGCCCTGTTAGCGCATGTCTGTAATAGTAGCTACACCGCAGGCTGAGATGTAAGGCTAGAGGTGAAGAACCCCTGGGTGGGAAAGTTTATGAGACTCTTATCTCCAATTAGTCACCAAAAAGCTAGAAGCAGAGCTGGGACACAAGTGATAGACTACCAGCCTGAAAACAAGCAAACAGCCGGGCGCTGGTGGCTCACGCCTGTCATCCTAGCTACTCAGGAGGCTGAGATCTGAGGATCGCGGTTCAAAGCCAGCCAGAAAGTCCAAAAAAGTAGAAGTGGACATGTGGCTTAAATGGCAAAGATCAGGGAAAGCATCCAACCTCTGAGTTCAAGCCCAGGACCAGCACAGAGAGAGAGAGAGCCCCCCATCAGAGGCTAGATGACCACTGAAGAGCAGCTGGGGACCTGGGGACGCGGGACAGGAAACACAGTGCATCTCAACGAATATCCCCGGGGTGGGCCTGCTGGTATGTCCCCCTTTCTCACTGCCTTGGTGGCTGCCTGACTTGTAAGGGCCGCCCGCCCCTCCTCTCCGCCCCCTCCCCCCAGGTTCTTGGTGGTAGACAGCCACTCTCCCATTCCATCCCTGCACAGAGCCACGGGGCTTACCTAGTCCAGCCAAGCATCCCAGACGCAATGCCTGTGATGGAGACCAGGCTGCCGACAAGCACGCACGTGGGTCCCAGGGGCAGCTGCCCTGTGAGGGTGGCAAGGAGGCTGGGTTGGGCTGGCTGCCTTCAGGCAGGAGGCCTAGTAGGCATGGCTGCCGCCTGGGCCCTTTAGGCCGGGTTCCCTTCCAGCCCCGAAGAGCGCGCTCACCCGGGGGCACCAACGTGAAGGCACTGCTCAGGGCACTGATGCTGTTCTCAGCCTGGCACTGGTACCAGCCGGATGTCTGGGACAGCTGAAAGGAGAAGTTGGCAGGCTGCCCGTGGAGAGGCCTCTGCTGCATGCAGACTCGCCCGTCCTTACTGACCAGACGGTAGGTGATGGGTGGGCTGCCAGAGGACACCTGGCAGGACACCTCCATCCTGGGGCCGGACCCTCTGTCCCACAGGGAGAAGTTAGCTTGCAGCTGGGACACTGGCTCTGGTAGTGGGGGGGGGGGCGGGGGATGGGAGGGAATGGCACAGACATGGTTAGAAGGCCTTATGTCCTGATCTGAAATGCCAGAAGAGCCCAGGGCTTTGTGTTGCTGCCGCCTCCCCTAGGCAGCCCTCAGGATTACCCTGTGTGTCTGAGCTTCTAGCCTGCTGGCAGTGTGACCACACAATTACACTTTCGGTATGGTATATTTCAGGTTTCCAGACTTAGAAAATAAAAATACAGGGCACCTGGTTAAATTTGAATTGTAGACAAGCAGCAAGTACTTTTTCAGGAACATATCTGAAACATATCTGGCAGCCTTCATTACATCCAATTAAGTAAAAAATATTAGCAGGGTGCTGGTAGCTCATACCTGTAATCCCAGCTACTCAGGAGGCTGAGATCTGAAGATCATGGTTCAAAGCCAGCGTGGGCAGGAAAATCTATGAGACTCTTATCTCCAATGAACCACCAGCAAACCGCAAGTGGCACTGTGGCTCAAACTGGCAAGAGTGTTTGTCTTGAACAAAAGAGTTCAGGGACAGTGCCCAGGCCCTGAGTGCAAGCCCATGACCAGTGGGGGGCGGGGTGGAATTCTAAACTTTGAACCCTTATGTATCAGCAGCAATCCCACCCCTGGTTCCATCCCTACCGCCTCCTAAATGCCACTCGACCCAATGCCCTCTGTGCCCTGGGATGCTCTGCTCATTATCTCGTTTTCAGGCCTAGCACTGGAGGCTAAGAGAGACCCACCTGTCCCCACAGCCAGCGTGGGTGGGATCTGAGCTCCACCTGTAGGGTTCCCACCTGACTCCCCCTTGGCGACCTCTCCTAGCATCCTTAGGCTGAGGGGCAGAGAATGGAGGGGAGCCCCCACCTAATCTTTGTCTAGCCATACAGGCCAGCAACACTTCCTGGTCCCCATTGCCCAGGGCTCTCAAGGAAGACACTCAGGTGGAATGGGATGGAGCTAGGAAGAAGGCAGGACTTGGGGCTGATACAGGGCAGGGGAGGGGTCCTGAAACCGGCTTTGGCCAGTCTCCCAGAGCCTCCAGATGCAAAGCCGGAGCCCCATGAGTGGCTGAGAAATTGAACTGAGATGAATGACAGCAAGGGCCTGGGTTAGCCGGGTGCTGGTGGCTCCCATCCATAATCCTAGCTGCTCAGGAGGCTGAGATCTGAGGATCACGGTTCCAAGCCAGCCGAGGCAGGAAAGTCTTTTTTATTTGTTTTTTAAATTTTTATAGGAGTCTTACCTCCAATTAACCAGCGAAAAGTGGAAGGGGAACTGTGTGACTCAAAGGGTAGAATGCCAGCCTTGAGCAAGAAAGCTAAAGGACAGTAGGACAGTGTCCAGGCCCTGAGTTCAAGTCCCAGTGCTGGTAGAAAGAGAGGGGGGAGGCGGGAGGGAAGGAGGGAGGAAAGGAGGGAGGAAAGGAGGGAGGGAGGAAGGAAAGGAAAAGAGAAAGAAGGGCCTGGTTTATTAGCCTCAGTTATGAGCCCACAGACAGGATGGAGTCTCGTGGGCACCAGTCTGGGCACAGCTTTGGGGCTGGCAGCCTGCCCTCCATTCCCACTATCCTGCCCTGGACCCCTCTAAATTCCCCAGGAGCTCCCCACTTGTCTGCCTCCCCTGCTCCCCTCTGGCTGGCCCCAGCACTCACTGGCCCACAGCTCCCAGTACATCTGCAGCCTGGCGCTGGGCCCGTGGGTGCCCGAGGCGGAGACGGCCTGGCAGGCGTAGGTGAGCAGGTCCGGGCTGGACTTGAGCGTGACGTTGATGTTGAAGAAGGCGGGCTGGTAGGTGTTTATCACCCTCCTGGCCACCAGGGTGTTCTGTCTAGCCAGGAGGGAGTAGGTGATGGGCGGGGGTGCCTGGGGCACATGGCATGTTATAAGCACCCAGCGGCTTTGGGGGTAGACCTGCAGGACTTTGTAGGTGATGGAGATGTCTGGGGTGGAACCTAGGAGGTGGAGAGTCCAGGAAGGGAGGGAGGGAGGGAGGGAAGCAAGGAGGCAGGAAGGAAGGAAGATAGGAAGAAAGAAAGAAAGAAAGAAAGAAAGAAAGAAAGAAAGAAAGAAAGAAAGAAAGAAAGAAAGAAAGAAAGAAAGGTTGATTTATCACACCCCTTAAGAATTAATGCTGGTTTTGGCTGGGAAGGCGGCTCATGGCTATAATCCTAGCTATTCAGGGGCTGAGATCTGAGGATCACGGTTCAAAGCCAGCCCAGGGATAGAAAGTCCATGAGTCTCTTATCTCCAGTTAGCCACCAAAAAACTGGAAGGTGTAGCTGTGGCTCCAAGTGGTAGAGTGCTAGCCTTGAGCAAAGAGGAGCTCAGAGACAGAACCCAGGCCCTGAGCTCAAGTGCCAATACTAGCACATTAAAAAAAAGACAAAATAGGGCTGGGAAGGTGGCTCAGTGGTAGAGCGCTTGCCTTGCATGCCTGAGGCCCTGGGTTCGATTCCTCAGCACCACATACACAGAAAAAGCCAGAAGTGGGGCTGTGGCTCAAGTAGTAGAGTGCTAGCCTTGAGCTGAAGAGCTGAGGGACAGCGCCCAGGCCCAGAGTT